AACAATGAAGGTGGTAATTCCTTGTCAATAGCTGGCTCCTCCCAGCCTGTCCCATGAATGGCACTATGTCATAAAATAACATCATTCCAGGGGCATTCTCAAAGTAAGGAAAGGGATGAAAAGAAGGTCTGGTAAAAGGCAGTGAAGGGTGGGAGACTTGGCAGTAGTCCTTCCAAAGAGCTTTTAGTACAGTATTGGGTATCATCAGTGTAAATCATTTGAATAAAGAGGAGTCAAAAACTGAATTTGAAGAATTCAAGAAACATGACTTTGCACCCAAGTCTGCATGCTTGTTTGTTTACTATTCAAACATCCTGCCTTTCTATCCTATCACAAAGATTTCCAAACAGCTAGCAACGTAAGTTGAAAAGAGCAATTAAGTGGGACTTACTCATATCTTTATTTGTAGGCCTGTCATTTTTGTCTGAAAAATTCCGGAGCAGCAGTGGTTGTGAATAACGAGCCAGGCTTGGATCTGAAGAGAGGGTCAAATATATCCCGAACTCTTCAGCTTTTGGTAACCATCAGGATCAATGCATAATAAATAATATTTGAGAGACACACTGAGTCTTTGTTTGCTGACCCAGATGGAATTTGAAATAATTCCCTGGCTGTGTTTGGAATTAAAAATAGGAAGGCTGCCATGTTTTTTGACTTGCCAGTGGTGGGAAAGAGTTTCCAGCTCACAGCTTGTTCTTGTCTCACAGCCTTTATTAATTATATTCTCTGAGAGTTAAGCAGCTACTGCCTTCATATTAAGCTTTATGACACACTTAGGGGAATAGCTGCTTTGTTGGGTCATGAACCATTGTATGAAATTGTCTGGCTTCATCACAGTCAAGCCATGTATCTGACTGTGTAGTCAGTCGGATGGGCCAGGCAAGCTACTCATTGTATGCATTTGCCCATTTTTCAAAATGCAGATTGGCGTCCCTAAGAATTTCACATGGACATCTTGTTCCCTACAGGAATGGATTGACACTTCTGCTTTCTCCCATAACTCCTTCTTTACTTCCTTCCTCTTCTCTTATTGGAGACTGGATGTTATCATGGCTGTTTTTACTCTGAATCCAGCAGTTTCAAACAAGTCTCCAAACTTTCCCAGCAAGACGTTCTCCTTCCTGTGTTCCTTTTCCAAATTTATTTTACCCTGAATGTTGAGCTGTAACAATCTGTAGTTTTCATTTCTCATTATGTGACCAAAGCATTGTAACTTTCTGACTTTTATATGCCCTATGGTTTCTTCATCTCATTTGGTTTCCTGCTTTGTCTTAGCATTCTGGCAACACACCGACTTTTCACTTTGCTTCTCTCCCCCCGCCCCCCCGGTCTGTCTTAGTCCACAATTATCTCTTGACCCTTGTTTAGCAATAACTCCATCATCTTGTCATGCTGCGCTTTGCCAGAGGATTTCTCCTGACCAAGCATGACCCACCTTCCTGCCACAGTGTCTCTTCCCAAGTACATGTATGTACAAAAGTACTTCCAGATCCTCCTTTGAATCTAAATTGTGTGCCTCTTGCCTCTTTTTCACACTGCTCATCTTTTTGTTCTGTATCACTACAGGGTGCTCCTAATTTGATAATTTAATAAACGTCAATCAGTCGAATTTCAAGAATAATTCTTGCCCCTAGATCTGACTGGGGAAAAAAATTATTGAAACATCTATGATACCCTTTTTTTGTGAGCTTCAATACCTGTTCTATATAATTGAGTCCAGGAATGTTGCCATTTTTGCTAGCTATACCACATCTTGGACTATGGATTCCAGTCTGTTATCTTAATGTACTCACTCCATGCTACATTTTCAACGGTAATGTTAGCTATCAGAAAATTACTGTCATCTGTCAGTAATGGTCAATGTCATGTTTTTAATATACTTTGTTGTTGTTTAGTCATTTAGTCATGTCCAACTCTTCATGATCCCATGGACCAGAGCACACCAGGCCCTCCTGTCTTCCACTGCCTCCCAGAGTTTGGTCAAATTCATGTTGGTAGCTTCGGTGACACTGTCCAACCATCTCATCCTCTGTCGTCCCCTTCTCCTCTTTCCTTCATACTTTCCTAACATCAGGGTCTTTTACAGGGAGATTTCTCTTCTCATCAGATGGCCAAAGTACTGGAGTAGCATTAATATACTTACCTCTTGCATATTTTTATTCACTTTAAAAAATTATGAAAATAAATCTAGTTTTTTTAAAAAAATTGTATATTGTTCAAGCCATTGTTTTTCTTTAGCCAATCCAATTTTGTTTTGGATGTTCTCATGTCATTCTCTGTTTTTGACGGTGTCTTCATTTTTCTGTTTCCTGACTCTTTTATTAGTGCTAATATTTATTCCATGATCCCCTTTTATTTACATTATTTACTTTTGATATAGTCACCTCTATCAATAGCGCTGTTAATTTAGAACAAATAGAATTTATACCTCAGATGAGTGTGCAGTCTTAACACCTTCATGAATCTCTTACTTAACAGTAGTATATACATAGTCAGGTCATGTAATTGTTTAGTTGCTTTGATTTTTCTAGGGTTTTATGTTTGTTTGTAGTTTCAGGCAGACTTTGGCAATGACATGATTATGTCTAAATTTGTGTCAGTCCTGGGATACATTTCCATTAACTTGACTCTCTTGTGATATCTCTGATTCTAACTTAAAGCTGTAGCACTGGAAGAGGGACCCTATGGGTCATTGAGTACAGCCCTGTCAAGGAAGCACAGCGGGGAACTAGCATATAATTTGGTTCCTTACAATATTATTGCTAATTACATTTTGTGGGAATTTCTGAGTATGTAGTCTCCTTGGTGGTCTAAATGTGGTGTTGGTTATTTCAAGATCCTTCTCCTTCATATGCACAAAATGTTATCATCTGTTTTCCATATTCATTTTCCCTTCTAAGACCCCCTTCTAGTTAAAAGAACAAGAAATCTCCATAGCCTCCTTTCCCTATTTAAGTATTAAAACCTCTTATTGTGAAATTTAGATATTGCTTTTTTCCCTGTGTTTTATACACACCTGAATTCTTTAAAGAATCTTTCTGTGCTTCCTTCATCTTTAAAGGCAGTTGAGGTACACTGTATAGTGTTTATATCTGTCTAAGACCCCCTTCTAGTTAAAAGAACAAGGGGTGGGGGAAATCTCCATAGCCTCCTTTCCCTATTTAAGTATTAAAACCTCTTATTGTGAAATTTAGATATTGCTTTTTTCCCTGTGTTTTATACACACCTGAATTCTTTAAAGAATCTTTCTGTGCTTCCTTCATCTTTAAAGGCAGTTGAGGTACACTGTATAGTGTTTATATCTGTGGGATTTGCCTTTAGTTGGATATGGATTACACAGTGTGCATAAGGAACAAAGTTTATAACAGCCTGCCGATTTCAAGATCACACCTCCAAATCTAATCTGATGGTGACTGGTAGAGAAAGGCCATGGGGGAAGAATCACTTTTGCAAGTGTTAGGGGTAGCTTTCTCTCTCCTTTTTGTCTATAGGAAGGTTTTTCTTCATTCCCTCATTTGGTAGCCAAATACAAACAAATGAATAGTCTGCAATGTATTGTAAACCCTATTGAAACCTCTACATCTTAAATCTAAGTAAATATGCACAAGATTGCATGTAATGTCCCACTGGATTATTAAGAGACAGGTCACTTTTTCTGAAGTACTTCCAAGTTTTGTACAATGATTTCAACATTTGAAAAGAAGTGGAAATGACTTGTTCACTTTTGGAGAACAGAGATGGCCAATAAGAAAGGGGATTATTTTCTTAGTTTTGTTTATAAATTGAATTCTAGGGATGTGCACAGTGGAAACTTTCATTTTTGTTTTATTTTAACAGTAGGGTATTTTTCTTTGGGGGGGAGGTTGACTCTTATTTTCATATTTTTTTTTGTCTTCCAGTCTTTTAATTTAAAATGAGAGGGACTGCTTCTTTAGAGTATATTCATTTTGTTTATCCCCATTTGTGTTTTCTAGTGCTAGTCCAAAAAGTTGTTAAAAAGCCATAAGAGCTATCCCAAAAAAACAAAGACAAAAGAAAATGAATACACTGCAAAAGCAGGCAATAGTACAGCCAACTATGAAAGGAAAGAGTGCAAAATAAACCCACCAAAATATACACCTCTGACAGAATAAATACACACTAAAAGAATGAAATAACATTTTTTTTGAAAATCAGTCAAACAGAGAAAACACTCAACCATCCCCCTGCATACAGGGAAAAACTAGCAAGATAAAACACACTACACAAATAGCCACCTTTCTCTAAACCCAGGAAAAAAAACAATCAAGCTAATAAAAGTTATTTGCTGTACTGGTTTTCTACCTCAATCAAAAACAAGTGTAATACAGAGAGATTTCTCTCCCCTCTACCACTTCAGGCCTTGTTCCCCACTTCTTTTCCCTTCTTTGAGTCTAGCACAATAGCAGGCAAGCAGCAAAAATAATCCAAGCAAGGAAAGGACCAAAGAGGAGGAAATTTCTTCAAAGAAATCAGAGGGAAAAATACACCCAATGAGGCATGCTGATTGGTGGTAGCAATAAAAATAGTCTGAAGAAATGGGGAACACAGCTCCCAGCAAGTGAAACAAAGAAAGAGCCCTCCTGTTGGATTCCAGCCAATCCAGGCTCTTTTTTAGCTTCCAAATACCATGTATTCCCTTCTCAATATTCTGATTGGCTAATAACAGCAGCTCTCACAACACTATTTGATGAAAAATTTCCTGGGCAATTTGATGGATAAAGAGTGAAAGAAAGGTTAAATGAAAAGTGGAAAAAGAAATAACATGAAACTTGTGTTCTCTTTTTATGCTAAATGAATCATCTATGTTTAAAAGCTCTCATTCACAAATCAGCAAAACAACACAAAACCTTTTAAAGCCTTGTTCATATTTGTTCCTTTTATGAAAACATGAACATTGCATCTCTATTGACTATTAGGCTTTATGTTTGGAGTATTTATATTTGAGGAAAATAATACATCTTTTTCCTCTCTTCTGTCAGCTAAAAATGGCAACAAGAAAGGTGAGAAAAACAAGAAGAGCAATGAAAGAACACCAGATGGTGACCCTGAAAGACAAAGTGCTTATGAAGACAGCAGAGAAAGTAAGCTACAATGCTTTAAGAGGTCCTTTGGAGTTCCTTTGGTCTTTTGAACTTTTTCATTCAGCTCTTTCTTTGGACACATAAGAATTAAAATAAAAGAGGTCATGAAGACATACTGTGTGTTGCATTGGTTATGTAGGTTCCAAATGTGTGTTCAAAGTCTTTCTTAGGAGCTATTTTCCACCTCTAGGTTCTTCTCTTTGGAGGTCTTGTGCTTATTTTTAACTGAGATAGAAAGTCTGATGGGAAAGTTAATGGATATAGTTGTTCCTATTTATCTTCTAGAAATAAAAGGTATGGTTGAGTCCTAGTGCAGAAATTCATTCTAGCCAACCTTTCCCTTGCTTGATGACATTTTGTGAATGGCAGTGAGCATAAGAGGGTATCCTGTAGACCATCTTGACTGCTGCCATTGATGTTGTCAACATTCAGGCTGTCCCTTGCTATATAAAGCTTGGCATGCTTTTTCCTGCTAGCAATGCAGGCATGATATTGTACAGTAATACTGGGCCGTTTCCTGGAATTTTGAATCATTGATACAGAAGAACAATATCTCAAATTCATAAACAGAATTGTTGGCAGAATTGGATTTCCTGGCTTTTAAAATACAGTGTGAGTTATATGGAACAGATGAAGAGATTCCCTAGGGAAAACCAGGTCTTCCTGGACCAATATCAAATAACCCTCCAGAGATTTGCACTATGTTCAGCAAGCACTATCTGCTTGTTGGCCTCTAAAGATTTCCTGGCTGGTTTTCTCCAGGGCGTTAAATCACGCTCACTCTACAATGATACATCTGTGGTACAGACAGGATAAACGAAGACCATTTTTGTTTTGATATAACACAATGTTTAGAGTGCAGTCTTTTGCATTGTTGATTCAGAAATAAGCCCCACTGGGTTAACTGAGATTTACTTTCAGAAAAGGTACATGAAGGTTCAATCTCTTTTCCTCCCAATCTGACATTATTTTGTTACCAGTATAATATTATAGGTTTTATGTTATGCTAGAGATACTCCTCTTTGGCAAGGGAGGAAGAGTATGTGGAAATTTTTAAAACATAAGCAAAAAAACACAACAAAATACAGAGGTCAATTAATTATGTGTGACAGGTGTGGACTGAACTACAGTGGCAATTGATAGATGATCATGTTATTGAAGGGAGAACTTCATGACATTCTGTTCATTTAATGGAATGGAGAGCACAGACATTCTCCTCATGCAAGGACAAGAGGTCACCATTGATAGAAGATATTCTATGCATGAAGAAGGTCTCATATTTAATACCTGGCACTAGTGAGAAGAATCATGTAGAAAGTGATCAAAAATCTGCTGGAGACCCTGTGGAGCAATTGCAGGTCAAAATGCTGGACTACATTTTTGTTTGTTTGTTTGTTTTGGTGGACAAATAGCTTAAGGTATAAAGCAGATCCTATGATCTTCTCAGAGGCATTATAAAAATATCAACAGAACAACTGAGGCATTATAAAAATATCAACAGAACAACTGGATGTCTTCTCAGACAAGAAAGGTTAAAACTTATGTCAGTATTCAAGACTGGCCCAAACAAAAAAAATCAAAACTAATTTTTAAGCTGAAATCTATGTATTCCTCGAGAGAGTTTCTCAAACTGCTAATCAACTTTACTTCCCAGCTGATCCAGGAAGACCTGATTGCGTACTTACAGCCAGAGGCCAGGGTATAACCAGCTTATAATCAGTATGCTTTATCTTACCAAACATTTTTATGCAAAAGTAATGGTCTGTCAGGAAAATATGTACTATCTGAATGCCTATTGTTTTAAGTATTGCCACTTAATATAACCATTAAGATTATTTGAAAAAAGAAAGCAAACATGTTGATCCATTTGAACAAAACAAAATCAATGGGAGGGCAAAACTTTTATTTAACATCAAATATGAGTTTACAACATTTGTTAGCTGAAGTTCTCCAGACAAACGACAGGAATGTTTTTGGCAGCATTGATGCAGATGCATAAGTAGCTGCAGTCTTCATGTTCACAAAGAAGGGCAGTCTTGCCTTCTTCTCAGTCTTATTTTTTTGTTTTGTTTTTGCTGGAGATCATGTGATACCTGCATAACCTGCAGACCCAAGCCACTACTCCCCATCTTGGGAATGAATTTAATTGCAGTTCTCTAAGGCTTAAAATGCCTACCCAACTTTCTGGTCTTCCACCCTTTCCATCCCTCTCTCTAATGTTTACCATCTGATGAAGAGTTTTAGAGAATCTGAAGGCTTACATATTGTATAGAAACATATTTGATCATAATAAAAGTACTGTACTGCCTGGAGGAAGAATCTTTCAAGTATCACAAAACGCCTGTTTTCTAGTGCTGCTTCATTAGCGGAATTGGACAACATTTATTCAGTTAGTTGTTTGTCATTTGTCTATCCTGTTTTTCAACCAGTGAGTTTAAAGCAGTGGTTCTTAACCTTGGGTTGCTCAGGTGTTTTTGAACTGCAACTCCCAGAAACCCCAGCCAGCACAGCTGGTGGTGAAGGCTTCTGGGAGTTGCAGTCCAAAAACACCTGAATAACCCAAGGTTAAGAACCACTGGTTTAAAGCACCATACATGGCTCTTCCCTTCCCTGTTTTCCCCTCAAAACACCCTGTGAGGTAGATCAAGCTGTGTGTGTGTGTGTGTGTGTGTGTGTGAGAGAGAGAGAGAGAGAGAGAGAGAGTGCTCCAGAGTCACTCTGTGAATTTCATGACACATTGTGGACTTGAACCCAGATTTCCCAAGTCCCAGTCTTAATAATCCTAAAAAGATGTTAAAAATACAACACAGGAAAATGAACTTTCTGTTATCGTGGGCCCTGTGCAGTAGCATAAGAGTGGAGAAGCCATTGCTTTATGATGGAGAAAGAAAATAAAATGGAATGAGGTGAACTGGAAGCATAACATTTTCATCTGAAATCATGTTTGCCCCAAACCTCTTAAAAAGCTTCTAAGCTTGCTCTAAACTAAGACTGGAGGTTTCAGTTCAGACTATTCATTACATGTCAAATAGAATCAAAAGACATCTTGTTAAAGTGAGCATTTATTGTAGAACTGGAAAAATCAAAACCATGGATGACTGGAGTTCTTTGTGTCTCCCCCCCCCCTTTTGTCTTTTTAAAGTAATCAGCCTGGTATGTCACATCCTGGCTGGCACAGTTAATGCTCTGTATCATGACTCCATATTTCACCTTCCAGGGAGTTGCAAGGCCTTCTGCTCCAACATACAAAAGCTTCCTAGAAATGGTAAATGGTAAAGTTTCTTTGCAGACACTCATTTATTTGAGAGTCTGGGGCAGGGGGAAATGTAGTCTGCATTGAGAAAAAGAAGAAGCCATTTGAAAGCTATTTTGGCATCTGAATATGGCCGACCAATATGGCAGACCAATATTGGGAGAATGTGCTAATGACCTTCTGGAGTCTTGACATACCTTTGGGCTCAGTACCAATAAACTATTTGAGACAGAGAGGTAGTTGGGATATCTGAGAACTGAAGAAAATCTAATCTTATCAGTTGTAGTTTTCGAAGTTGTAGCCATGGTAGTCTGTGTAAGCATTACAACAAGAAACAGAGAACAAAAACAAACAAACAAAAAACACATTGTGGCACCTTTAAAAACTAACTTCTATATTTTAATGCAAGCTTTCATGGCACATGCCTATTTTATCAGCCGTAATATAGAGACTAACAGTTTTCTGTCTGTATTCTCACTCTTACATTTTATGTAATTCTACAAAAGCTTACAGTACAATATAGCAGTTAGTCTTTTCTTCTTCTTCTTTTGCTTTGTTTGGTGTTTCTTGTGGAAATGTTTATCAGATTCAATTACAATTGAATCAATAGTTCAAACATTTACTTTTATTGACTGGATGGAGGGGAGAAAATAATGAAACCTATGGAGCTACAGCTTCCCCTCACTATATGTTGACTTCATCTTAATGCTTCAAGGTGATCAGGAATGTTTTTCTGCTATGTTAGTAGCCCCCACATCTGGGATGTCTTGAGTGAAAAATGAGCTCAGTTGAATGCAGCTGTGCATAGGAGTTAATCCTTGAAAATCTTGCCATATTAACATTTTGTTCTGAATTATTATTAACACATACACGCCTCCTCCTGTTCTCCATACCTGATGAGATTTCTTTTGCTAAGCAGGTTGAGAAAAAAATGCAGGGAAGCAAAGAGACTGGAGCTGCCTGATTTTAAAGTAACAGATCCTGAAAAAGATTTATCAAGTATTGCACCTACTAAGACAGATGTTTCCTCTCTTAAGGAACAGTATGAATACTAACTTTTTCCTTACTCTTTCAAAATATACAGTATATATATTTGAAAGACTTTTTACCCAGAACTTTACAAACCTCACCCCTTTGCAATATGAAATTTGTACTGAGATTCTGCAAGTTTATCCCTTGGTTTGCCAAATGAGTTTTTGTTTTTATATGGCTAATTTTTTTAAAAAAAATGTTGTTTTGTACATTTTTGTTATTGCCCATTAAATGGTTGGGGTAAAGGTATAAACAATAAAATGAACAAACAAACAAATCAATATTTATCGAATCAGCAAAAGCTGGTAAAAGCTATTCTGTCCCATGAATGATGCCTTGTCCCCTTCAAATTTCCTTAAACACCTTTTCCTTCAAATGACAAACAGGGCAGTCTATCCTCATTTAGGACTGTCTGAACACCACAATATTGGACCAAGGAAAGCTCCATCTTACCTGCACTGAATCTCTCTCTCATCCAGTCCAGTGCTATGACCAGCCACTGATTAAACATACCCATCTGGGACCAATGGAAAGGAAACAGATGTTCTTATCCTTGAAATATTGGTGATACTGGCTAGTATCCAGCATGGAATGTCTCCTGACAGAATCATAGAAAAATGAAGTTGGAAGGGGCCTACAAGGCCATCAAGTCCAGCCCCCTGATCAGTGCAGGAATACAATCAAAGCTTATCTGCTAGGTGATTATCTAAATTTT